AGATTGCCGAACGAAACTTTGGAATTACTCATTTCAATCTCTCTGAGATTTTACAAATATAACTTTTACAAATTTCTACTTCTCACTCGGCGCCCAAATATTTTAGAACTATTCTGTCAAATCTTGACAATAGTTCATTTGAAAGATTATTATTATTATTCCCTTGGGTTCCAAGTAGAACATGCGGGTTTGACAACACATCTCAACTTTCTTCTTTATTCAGCTGGCTAGGTACACGAATACCCATAGTCTCTCATCTCCTCCTCGACATACCATCTCCTCCATGTCACCCTCAAACTCACGACCCAATCGTCGCTTCGCATTTAAATTCCACTCAAGTGATGACTTGAATTGTGTGCGATGTCATTCGACGGTCTCCTCAGTGGTGTATGCCCGACCCATCTCCACTTTCTTCCACATACCTACTTGTTGAGCAGTCGGCTCTTGATTGGTTGGTTCATCGCCGGAGTTTCTTGTTGCTAATTCTCTCTGGCCACCAGACCGACCGGCCGGCCATTTGTTCTTCAGTATGGAGCCAGCCAGTGAAGCTGGCAGCTGTTGATAAAGTCTGCAGTGACCTGTTGGAAGTCCTTTTCGTGACACGCAGTGCAAGTTTCTTACCCATATAGAAGAAATGACTGCCTGACTTCACACTAATGTTGAATAGAATTCGAATCTTGTTGTTTATGCTGGCTGGCTGAGTGACAGCAGAAGATTTCCAAACTGGTTTCAGGTTGATGAAGTCGTATCTTGCCTTTCCGATTCTAGTTGGCTGGCTGGCTTTGACATCTTCATCCGTTCAGACTGCCTGTTGTTGAAACGATGCTTTCTAACCGGATAAGTGAAAGATATGACCTTCGTCAAATCTCTCCCGTTGATGGTGATAGGTGCTGGTTGTTGCCGCTGTTGCTGTTGCTATTGGTTTGTTATTTTCATAACCTTCGCCTTCTACATGTTCACTTGGAGTCCTTCCTGTCTTCGCTGCCTGCCTCTTCAGCCAATTTGTTGGTTTTTGCCTCCAAGTCTTAGAGTTTGTGTGACATTAAAAATAAATCATTTGCGAAATCCATATCTTCTAGAGTCTTTTTATCGGTAGTCCAGCGTATTCTCACTCCCAACGCACAGTCTAACGCATAATCGAGCCCACCATAATTAATAGTGAACTAGTGGAAGGTGAGTTCAAAACATCCTGGAACACATTGGTCGTTCTTACTTTCTTCATGCTCAAAGAAGCTAATTTTTTTCCTTCACGTTCCCTGTGGAACATAGGGCCTCAAGCTAGTGGCTTGAAGTTTCTGTAGCAGTGGTGATTATTTTTACAGGATGGGGTTGCTAGCCTCATGCCCAACCTTTCCTCTTTACCAGCATTGTTTCTGGCTTAGCGAGATAAAGGAGTGCCTTGTCGGCTGGGGATGAAACCCCGGACCATGTGCATGGTTGGCGAGCGTCCTAACCGCTATGCCAACGACGCATAAAGAAGCTAATAGTCAAGTCTAATCAGATTATTTATGCATTTATTTAGGTAAACAAAAATTCCGTTACACAAATTAATTGAACGACAGTTTTAAGGAAAGAGGAAAAATAAACAGAATAATACAAGTGAGCATTCTTACACGTAGATTATTCACAGAAGTCTTTATTACTTCATCACTTCTTTCAGAAGTAGAATGGATAGGGTTAGGGTTTGATACACCACTAAGTAGCATCTTATAATGTTTCCAGTCATTGAGTCGTTTGTATTTCTCCAACTCCATCATCAAATAAGTTATAATGCATCCAAAAACAGTGTCTAACTAATCACCAATATCCTTCCTTTCTACAACAACATCTACTTTTACTGCTTCTTCATGCATTTATTCCTCTTGATGAATTTAAAATAAAGCAAGAACAACCACCGTGGTGGTTTGTGCGGAATAAGATGATGGTACCATCCTTTGCTTGTTTCGTTGGCTTCTCATCAGCTGCCTTCTTACAGCCTAAATAGATTATGAGGTTTGCGTACAGAAAAGTTTTAACATACCTGCAAATTTTTCAAGATGTCAGTTGACAAAAAGTTCCACAGTAAGTGAACAGTGCTCAGAAAATTGCGCTTATATAGTTTTCAAACAGGGAGTTCAAGTTTAAACAAAATAAATGTATGCATACAATGGTAAAAGAGTTACGTAATAAAGACGAGATATTCGTTAGATACAGAGTGACTAATAAATTAGGTAACAATGTACTGAGTTCAAGCAAAATTACAGATTATAAAAGGAGGTGAGGTTAAAGACAAAGATTACGTAATCAAATGAAAGGAAGAATAAAGACATCCAGTTACCAGGGTGGGCAAGGAAAGACTAATAACTGCTTCTTTCTGAACACATAAATCTGGTTTCAAGCGTTTGATGAAAATTGCTTCGGCAAACTTGAGGAGAATGGAGCTCCTTTGTCTATTGATAATTTTAAAGGATTTCTCGATTTCCACCTCATGACCCGTGTCGAGGAGGTGTCTGGTAATAGCGCTACTATAAGAGTTTGTAGGCTTTTCGGCACATGGTCAGAAAATCGGAGGTGTGTGTCCCCTTCTTTCTGTTCTCCCAATGTTACTGCTCCCGCAGATACACGTAAATTTGTGTACACAGTTGGAGTTAATTTTGCTTGTCTCTTGTTTCTATCATTTGAGTTGAACTCAGTACACTGTTACCTAATTTATTAATCACTCAGCATCTTACGTATCTCTCGTCTTTATTACGTAACTCCTTTACCATTGTATGCATACATTTATTTTGTTTAAACTTGAACTGCCTGTGTAAAAACTATATAAGCGAAATTTTCTGAGCACTGTTCACTAACTGCGGAACTTTCTGTCAACTTACAACATGTAAAATTTGCAAGTATGTTAAGACTTTTCCATATATACTTTTTTTCTATACATAATTTATTTAGGCTGTAAGCAACTGATGAGAAGCCAACGAAATAAACAAAGGATGGCACCATATTATTCGCTAGAAACCACTGTTGTTCTTGCTTTATTCAAATTTCCTGCTTCTCCTGACCACTAAAAACCACAGATGACATCAATAAATGAAGGATACTCCCTATGTTATCTAAACAAAATTAACAAGTGTTTTTAATTGAATTTTAGATTCTCCCGTCGATTGATTGGACCGAAATGCCCGGTCACAGGTTGACATGTCGGCTTCTTGTGCAGATGCTTCGACGATTTCTGGCCATGCAATTGGACGTTAATTGGTGGATGATGACTAGCAGTGGAATCCACCAGGATGCGCACTTCGCCCTATTTTGGACTCGTCATCTGGATGTACCTGCATTTACCAGTGAGTGATGATGTTCCCACTGAGGCTCGAACCCAGTGACCATAGTTTCAAACGCACAAGCGGTGGCTCTAGGGGCCCAAGTGGTCTAGTAGATAACGCTTTGTCGTTTGAAACGATGGTCACTGGGTTCGAGCCTCGGTGGGAACATCATCACTCACTGGTAAATGTAGGTACATCCACCTAGTTGACGAGTCCCAAATAGGACGAAATGCGCGTTATCCTGGATTCCACTGCTAGTCACACTCCACAAAAATTAAATTCTAAAATTAACAAGTGTTACAATCACTTAGTTTGTATGACTACCGGATTCATTCACAGTTCTACAGAGACAGCGGCTTGTAAATCACAGGTTCTGACCACTTTAAATCATAAGGTCACTCAAATGATAATAGTATTAGTGTTTATTTGTATCCGGATTGCATGCAATCCATCAGTTTGTAAGGAGAAAGTATACCTCTGACCACTGGTTTTTAACTTTATTTTAACCTTCTGGTCTAAGAGCCTTATAAACGATTGTTGGTGGGAATCTATTTGAAAAATGCAATTTTGGCTTCAGCTCTTAGTGCCCCAGATGATGATGGTACAGCGGTTAGGACGCTTGCCGATCATGCATATGGTCCGGAGTTCGATACCCTACCGATGCACACTCGGCCTGCAAAATTTGGGCTACCGATATCACATGCTGAAAATTCTATACTTGTACCAAAAATACGGTGTGAAGTCAAGCTATAATTAAGATACAATAAAAAAAATAAACTAGAGCGAACGCTGGTTACACTAAGTCCTCCCAGTGGGCTTCAAGCTTCAGCTTTGAAGTTCCAGTAGTCATGATGACATTTCTTTCAGGGGGGTGGGGTTGATAACCTCACACCCAGCTTTACATCTTTACCGAGCTCACTACCGAATAAGCAAGGTTTAGGTGTGCGTCGGCCGGGATTCGGACCCCAGACCACGTGCATGGTTGGCAAGCATTCTGTCGCTGAACGACGGACTCAAGCCTGTGATCAGATTTGAGCAACTGATAGTCTCTTCACTGTTCTTATCAAATAACCAATATATAACCAACGATGTACTCGGAATGATTTTCCCTATATAGAGATGAATGGTGCTATCTACAGCACAATTCATGTTATTTGTCGGCTGGTATCATAAATTGTTTCAAACATCTATTATCGATCAGTAGTACATCTAAAGTTTTATGAAATTCTGTGTCATCGATAATCAGCATTTCATAACTACGATGCAGGTGTTAAAGCGAGCTGCTCCAGAGATAAATCCGTTCTTTAGTAAGCATAAATAAGACGAAATTGGTAAGATGAAACACCTTTGTCTCCTGGATTTCGTCGACTGCTCAAATGCAACGACCTGTACCATAGCGATTAGGACGCTCGCCGACCATGCACATGGTCCGGAGTTTGATCCCCGGCCGACAAGGCACCCCTTTACCTCGCTAAGCCATAAATAAAGCTGGTAAAGAGGAAAGGTTGGGCATGAGGCTAGCAACCCCATACTGTAAAAATAATCATCACTGCTACAGAAACTTGAAGCCTCTAGCTTGAGGCCTTATGTTCCAATGAGAACGTGAAAGAATAAAAAAGTAGCCACTTCTACACTATACATTCAAGCGGATGTTAACAGTTCCATTTTCAGAATTAAAAGTCGTTGTTATCACTACTTACTTACCCAACTGCAATGAACTGACCCGCATTCAAAGGTTGTTTAGCCAATTGTGTTACAAAACAAACTGCAGATGCAATAAATGCAGCAGATCCATTTGCATTGAAACTTGTTAAAAATGGTGCCACAGTACGTACAAGATCTGGATCTATACCATATCGATCACAGACTCGAAAAAGTTGTGGTAGAGCAATTAAGCTGAAAAAAAATGTATATGAAAAATTATACATTACAGGTTAGAAGAATACACACATGAAGATATAATGAGTAAATAAAAGACAGTAAAACAAATACGTCAATAAAAATTGTCAGAAGTTAGAATTCATGGACTGGCTGGTCATTGAATCGGGTCCCAGTGAGTGGCTTAGTGGTCTACGAGCTCGCTGGCCCTGTAACCAGAAGCTCCTGGGTTCGAACCCTGGAGTTTGGTACGTACTGATGAAGAGTCCCAAACTGGGACGAAACAACTGTCCAGGACTCCCTGCAGGTTTTCCAATGGTTCTCTAACTGGTGTGAGTTCCTCCATTCAATCAAAAGTAGATCAGTTCAAACTGTTTTAATTAAGAATAACACAGAGGGAAAAAGAACGGTAGAAATATAATGATGATAATATAATCCTACGAACATTCACAACTACATCAGAATGAAGAGAACAATGTAGTCGAAATCACTGAAGTCCTAAAACAAATTTAGATATCCAAAGAGTGGATACGCTGTACTACTGTAAACGACTTCTGTAGATATTACCAGGGAGTTTTCAACCATTGTTTATTGTCATCTAACTCCTGTCTATATGGCATAAACCCAGTCATTCACTCTATGAAAAGGGTTCACAACCTTCAGTTATAGAATGACATTCAACTTCGTCACTTATCTTCTCAATCGATAATTATTGCATAATGATCTCTCTGCCTATTGTTTTTTTTTTATTATAGCTTGATTCCACACTGTACTTTTTGGTAGAAGTATGGAATTTTCAGCATGTGATGTCGGTAGCCCAAATTCTGCAGGCCGACCATTGATATCAGGTGTGCGTCGGTAGGGGATCGAACCCCGGACCATGTGCATGGTCGGCGAGAGTCCTAACCGCTGTGCTACCGACGCACAAAGGAGTGCGTCGGCCGGGGATCGAACAAGTGAAACAGTACCTCGTCATATTTTGAGTTATTACTCCGGACAAACACTGGTAACTGTATTAATGAACAGAATTGTAAGGTACGCTCACCCGTCCGTGTTGATTCGTTTGCATAGGACTCGACAGATACGCAGTAAACGTCTCAAGATTTCACATTCACAGACTAAGATGCCGAACTGTTAGCTGATGGATGAACTGCTTATTGTTCAACTCGGTGTAGGGTTAGGACATTGTTATCTTCAATGTGCAATCGACGGAGTGGTTTTATAAGACTAGGTGTAGTATTCCAGTCATCTAAGATGCTAGAAGTAATCGTAGAATCAAGGCCAGAAGAGACTATAAGAAAAGTGTCATTAACAGTGTGCTAAGAGATGGTGAAGATCAAGGAAGAGGCAAAGATGGATAGATCATGGTTTGTCAGAATGTAGTTGATCACCCCACCTACACACACCCACATCCTAGAGATGGGATCTATCAAGTCTTATGTTTTGGAGGGCTGACGTTTCGCAACCTTCGACACTCTACAGAGTGAGAGAGGGAAGGCAATATAACATTTAGTTGTTGTTTGATTTTTCATACTCTTTCTCTCTCTCTTTCGTCAAGTGACGTCTCTCACTTGTACTTTCCTTTCTTTTCAATTTAATTTTGATTCTTTCGTTGACTAACTGGACAATACTATTCAGCCTTCATCGCTATGTGAACTCCTAGTGACGACACTTCAATGATGTCTCAAGATCCAGGTTGGAGTAATTTGGTGGATGGTGACTGTCAGTAGAATCCAAAGTGTGAATTTCGTCCTATTTAGGACTGACTCTTCAGTTAGTGAATGTACCTGAGTTTCCACAGAAATTCACTCGAGCCCAGTACTCATCGTTTCAAAAAAACACCAAAGCGTTATCCAAATAGCACGAGACTTCATGCAACTTCAAGTTAGTCCTCGTCAGACATCGTCAAAGCGTCTGCACTAGTTATTGACATGTCAACACAGGCCGAATATTTCATTCCAGTCAATCAACAGGAAAATGGATAGAATCCCTACAAACTAATTATGAAAATTAATCTGATGCTCACTAGTCACTGGCTACTGGCCGAAGTTGCCTGAAGTTCTACTGAGAAGTCGTGACCACTGAGGTTCAGCCAGTTGGTAGTGAGGATGAATTTCCCACCGATGACATTGGTTGGTAGTCGCGCTAAACTTATCACGAATTCGTAGAAGTTAGAATTCATGCCCTGGTTATTGGGGAGTTCGAGTCCCAGTGATGGCTGAATGGTATACAACCTTGCCTCGTAGTGGGAAGGTCCTGGGTTCGAACCCTGGTGGTGAGCGTATACTTCCGGTGGGTCCCAAATTAGGAGGGGGTAAACAGCTCTGTCCAGTACTCCCAGCTGGTGGTTTTCAATGGTTCTATAACTGATATCAATCTGGGGTCTGACCTGAAACAAACAGGATCCCTACAAACTAATTCTTGAATATAAACGACAACCGACACTCGTTGCACAAGGGGTGGTGTTTTTCGTGACTCAAGTAGTCTAGTGCATAGACACTTTGAAGTTTGAAACGATGGTCTCATTGTATTATTATTATTGTTCCTTTGGGTTCCTAGTGGAACAAAGGGCTTCAACTACACGTCTCCACTTGTTTCTGCCTTCTGCTGTACTTATCACCTAATCCATGTTAGTACATACTGTTTCGACTCATCTTCACACGATCTCCTCCATGTCACCCTTGCACTGACGTCCCACTCGCCGCTTCCCTTTCGGGTTCCACTCAAGCGATGGCATGACGCGCGATTTCACCCAGCGGTCTCCTCAGCGAGTGTCCAATCCATCTCCACTTTCCCTTGCATATTTGTTGGGCGGTTGCTTCTTGTTTTGTTTGTTCCCATAGGTTCTTGTTGGTGATTCTTTCTGGCCAGCCATCTGATCTTCAGTATAGAACGAAGACAGTTGTTGATAAAGGTCTGCAACAGGCTGTTGGAAATATTCTTTGTGACCCGCCAAGTTTCTGATCCATCCGTATAGAAGAACTGACTGACTCGACGTTTGTATTGAAAATCCGAATTTTGTTGTTGATGCAAGCTGAGTGACGAAGATTTCCAGATTGGTTTCAGGTCGATGAATGTGTTTCTCGCCTTCCCGATTCTCGATTTGACATGCTCGTCCGTTCCTCCTGTAGTTGAGACAATGCTCCCTAGATAAGTGAATGAAGTAACCTCCTTCAAATCCTTTCCGTTGATGGTGATTGGCGCTGGATGTTGCTGCTGCTGTTTGATAACCTCCGTCTTGTCTATGTTCACCTGCAGTCCTGTCTTCTCTGGCTGATTCTTCGACCAGTTTGTCGGTTTTCGCTTGTAAGTCTTCGATTTTGTGTGACATCAAACATAAATCATCCCCGCGCGAAATCCAGGTCTTCTAGGTTCTTCACGTCGGTCAGGACAGGATATCCCTGTCTTCTCGTTTCCCACTGTCTGACGCATAATCCAGTCCACCACAATTGGGAATATCATTCATTGGTGATAATAAGCACCCTTGTCTGACTCCTGTGTTTACTCCAAACGCCTCGCTGAGTTTGGCATGGTCTCACTGGGAACACCATTACCATGTAGCACGTATCCTGGTGAATTCCACTGCTATAATCACTATCCATCAAAGTAAAGTTTCTCATTGTTTTGAATCATAGCAAGCACAATTGATGGGTACTTTTATGTCATTATTTTATATTGATTCTCTTTGTTTGTTTCATCATCCTTGTTGTTATGTAGCTGTCTATCAGCGAGGTGGGAGTGGGGGGTAAATAGTTTATTGTTATTGTTATCAAGGTCATATCTTTTGTATAAAAAATGATACTGACACACTGTAAATACATAACATCAGTAGTATTAGTAATAACAGTCTACATTTAATGATTAGTTGTTTTGTTGTTATTTTTTCTCAGTGATTGGTATTTCGTGATGATTAGTATTCACTATGACGTTATGAAGTTAATCAGTTAGTTATATTATGACACCAGACTTGTCTAGTGGAATGATGATAACACTAATTAGGCTAGTTCTCATGTGATGTTAATGCCATCCAGTAAATAAAATACTGTTTCAGTGTGTGATATAATAAACAGACTAATATGGAATTACATACTACTTACTATTGGTATCCAATTTTAACACATACCATTACTATTTTGATATGGTTGTGTTCTCTCTGAGCTGAATGGATAGTGGTTTATTTGCGAAGCTTTTTGTTGCCCGTCCTACTAGATAACATCCTGAACTCGGCGCATACACTTCAATTTGTTGAAGTAAGCTTCTTCTAGTTATCTCTCCTGGTGAGTGGTTACCTTGAGTGTTACTCTTTGGTTGTTTTTCTGTGTTTTCACACCCTCTACTAGGCTGCTACTTGTATTGTATTGGTGCTGATTGTTTCCTTGACTTGAACTTTGACTCTTTGTGTGTGTGCGTGTGTGTGAGATTTCCTTCTTATCGATTGGTAAATTTTGTCTATGTCGATGTGTCTATTGACTGACAATTCATTGGAATACCAGGCGGGTTTCTAAGAATTCTCTAGCATTCTTGGTGTTTCCTGTGTCTAATATTTGAACGCTGGTTGTCCCAGTTGAATTGATGCCCGCAGTTGTCTGTATGCAGTGAGGATCCAAAAAGCTCGAGCTGCTTTCGTTAACTTACGCCATCTCTGGCGTAGGCGTGACATCCGACTATCAACCAAGGGACGTGTGTACTGCTCAGCAGTTCGCTCCGTCCTTCTCTATGGCTCTCAAACATGGCCAATACGAGTTGAAGACAAGAAAAGGTTGACTGTTTTTGATCATAGATGTTTACGATCTCTTTCTTACGTTAGGTGGTATAATAAGGTAAGTAATGTCGACGTTGGGCGTAGAGTGTTGGGCAAAGAGGGAAAATCAATCGACGAGGCTATAAAGTTACATGGATTGAGATGGCTAGGTCACGTACTGCGCATGCCTAACCATCGCCTCTCCCGACGGACATTACTAGCTGATATAGGTGCAGGTTGGGAAAGGGTAAGAGGTGGCCAAACAAAAACATGGCCT